GCGCCGTGAGATATTCGGCGAGTCGCATGAAGGGTGCGCTGCATCCTGCTAAGGGTTTTCGGCATCTTGTGCTTACTTCCTTGCGTACGGATGACAGCTGCGTATGACTTACTTCATTTTCTGGTGCTTTCACTTCCAGAGACAGTTGTAAGCACTGTGTAACTGCCGCGAGGGTGCTTGACCATTTCAACACAACGTGGTGCGATCATCCCCCTTGCGCGGAGTGAGGGTTCTCCACCCCGCACAACATGATCTACTCGACAGCCATTATGGTTACCGCCAAAAAAAAAAACGGAGGTAAAAAAAAAAAAACGGTAATCTGGTTGCCGAGTTCACTTGGGGGAGGGGAGAAAACAGTGGAGGTGGACCCATCAGAAACCAATGTGTCGGGTGGTGGGTCTTGCAGCCAAACCGACCGTGGACCCTCGTCTGCAGGTGGTCGAGCGGTTTTTTCCCTCCTATCGTTGACTTCGAGAAGCTGCGATTGCACACTGTAAGGTAACGGGACAATATTAGGTTTCAAAACCCGACTTCCAACCTGCCCCCATACTCTCTTAGCCGTCCCCCCTCCTGCCGTGCGGCCCCTCTCCGCTCTAACGGCAGCACATCTTTTTCCACCCCTGGTAATGCGGTTGTGCCTTACCTCTGCAAGATCTTTGGCGATCTCTTCTTCGCTTTTCCCTGCCGCACGCATGGCCTCCGCCCTCGCCGCCCTGGCCGCGGCTCGCCTCTGCCCCAATCTCGCCGCCGCCGTCCGCCGCTTGTTCTCGTTCTGCGCCTCCATCGCGACAATTGCCCTCTCGTGAATCGCTCGCAGAGACTCCTTTCTCTCCTCCTGGGCCATCTCTGCTTCTGCGGCTCCCAGTGACGCTCCGTACACTCCTGACGCGGCAGCCTGTTCGGCAGAGGTCAGGATGTTCTGGACGGATCGCTCGTACCCTTCGGCGTCGCTTTGCAAGCGGTTCGCCTCGTCGAGGAGGCTCCGCTCGAGGTTGATGCGCTCGGCCTCCTCGGCGGAGTCGGCGAGGGTGGCAGCTTTCGCGGCGGCCTGAAGCGACACGGGCTGGGCGGCGGCTACGACAGCGTCGGTGCCCTTGCGCCGAGCAGCAAGACGCTTCTGGAGGTTGGTCTGTTGGCGCTGCGCATCGACCTGTGGTTGGTTTGGGTCGTTTGTGTTAGCATGTGATCGTAGCACAAATGACGGGCGAGAGACGAGCATGTCGGATAGCATGGTAAAGAGGGGGAGAGGGATACAGCATGACGGGATGGTTGGTTGGAAAATAAACAAGTATCAGGGCAGCCACACTAGTGCTACATCTTGCAGGCGCATCTGCCAGAATGACCTCGTTACGCGAATTTGTGTACTGCTTTTGAAGACAATGATCGATACAAACATGCGTTCAAAGTAACTCATTGCCTTAGTTCATAGACTGCTCTACTCTTACGTTAATGGTGCTTCTGCGCTATCGGCAGCATCCTCGAAATAGCCTCGCCATGGAAATTTGGAACTGGCATCATCGGCGCGTACACACCCTAGCTTGACCGGAGCGCGATTGTGCCACCGGCGCCGTTACCATGGTACCTTCATGGCCTCTTGCAGCTGGGCCATCCGGTTGCGATGTTCTGCGAGAAGACGGTCTGCTTCCTCCCGCAGCGAATCCGTTCCGGCTGCTTCCGCCTCCAGGTTCGCCCGACCGATGGCCTCGACACGGTCGTTGCGCAGATCCTCCATCTGTTGTTTTGTAGGTGCGTAGTCAAGAAAACATGAATGTGAGTTGGTAAAAAACGGCGCTTTCTACGCCGGAAATGGGTCGAATAAGCCCGCCTATGCGAACATGTACCGAGGACAACGATAACGGGATACACGGGTGCAAAACGCTAACGCAAGTTGGTGCGATCAAGGCGGGCGTTATCGTGCATATGAGACCATGGAGGAAGAGTCACCACCCCAGTTGACAAGGTCCTTCTACTTGACTTTGCGGGGGGAAATCACCCCAATTGGTCAGCGTACGATCACCATCCGTTCAAGAGCGGCCGGACCGGGCCGTCCAGTTCATGTGAGGCTCGCTTGGTTTGCCTTATTGCTCATCTATGGCAATGGGATAGCCGAAACGTGATCTACACCGGTTTCTCACCAGCTCTTCAATAGCCCTTTCCTCGCCGTCTTCCAACTCTGTTCTGGCTTTCTTGGCCGCCTCTGAGGCGGAGAGAGACTCTTTGTCTTGCAATCTGAAACATTGTGTTAGACGAAATCATTCATATGACGATATGAACCGGAGGGTGGGGACCCTGTGGGAGGGTGTTCAACGTCCGCTTTCTTTCACCTCAAAATCACGGTCACACAACAAGGGCTGAGTTCTTTAGTTGATAACGTTGTGGTTATTGCTCTACAGGATGTAGGTTCAGGTCTCCAGGTATTGAAAGCAAATAGCAATTTGGTCATGAGTACAAGCAATGAGGGAGAGATCTGCAGATCGCTTCTAGCGTTACGATACTCAGGGCAATCACCGCATGACGATTCCTCCTGCGTGACCCAGGCTGGTGTCACACATATAGCGTAATGTGTAGACTGGCGCCAGAATATATTGGACGGGCAAAAGCGAATCAAGTCTGCGTGAGACACAGCGCAGGAGAGTGGGGCGTATATACAACCGGTTTCGAGCGCAAGGTTGGCCATGTTGAGGGGGGGCGTAATGCCTTACGCTAGTCAACGTTCCGTTCGAAAGCTACAAATAAGTGTGCCACCGCTCTTCCATCAAANTCAAGAAAACATGAATGTGAGTTGGTAAAAAACGGCGCTTTCTACGCCGGAAATGGGTCGAATAAGCCCGCCTATGCGAACATGTACCGAGGACAACGATAACGGGATACACGGGTGCAAAACGCTAACGCAAGTTGGTGCGATCAAGGCGGGCGTTATCGTGCATATGAGACCATGGAGGAAGAGTCACCACCCCAGTTGACAAGGTCCTTCTACTTGACTTTGCGGGGGGAAATCACCCCAATTGGTCAGCGTACGATCACCATCCGTTCAAGAGCGGCCGGACCGGGCCGTCCAGTTCATGTGAGGCTCGCTTGGTTTGCCTTATTGCTCATCTATGGCAATGGGATAGCCGAAACGTGATCTACACCGGTTTCTCACCAGCTCTTCAATAGCCCTTTCCTCGCCGTCTTCCAACTCTGTTCTGGCTTTCTTGGCCGCCTCTGAGGCGGAGAGAGACTCTTTGTCTTGCAATCTGAAACATTGTGTTAGACGAAATCATTCATATGACGATATGAACCGGAGGGTGGGGACCCTGTGGGAGGGTGTTCAACGTCCGCTTTCTTTCACCTCAAAATCACGGTCACACAACAAGGGCTGAGTTCTTTAGTTGATAACGTTGTGGTTATTGCTCTACAGGATGTAGGTTCAGGTCTCCAGGTATTGAAAGCAAATAGCAATTTGGTCATGAGTACAAGCAATGAGGGAGAGATCTGCAGATCGCTTCTAGCGTTACGATACTCAGGGCAATCACCGCATGACGATTCCTCCTGCGTGACCCAGGCTGGTGTCACACATATAGCGTAATGTGTAGACTGGCGCCAGAATATATTGGACGGGCAAAAGCGAATCAAGTCTGCGTGAGACACAGCGCAGGAGAGTGGGGCGTATATACAACCGGTTTCGAGCGCAAGGTTGGCCATGTTGAGGGGGGGCGTAATGCCTTACGCTAGTCAACGTTCCGTTCGAAAGCTACAAATAAGTGTGCCACCGCTCTTCCATCAAACCTTGAGGTTGAGGAGGGTGATAATCTAACTAATTGTCTTCGATGTACAAGAATACGTGCCCCCAGCGTTGGTAGTAAAAGCACTACTTACGTCGCTTCTCGAGCTGCTCTAGCCGCCTGTAGACGCTCCCTTAAAGCCCTCGAGGCATTCTTCTCGTTCCTGCTCATGTCATTCTCCAGCTGCCCAATGGCGGCAAGGTGGAGTTCCTGCAAATATGTGGATAAGCGGATGCCAACGGGATCGGCGTCGTAGTGAACGCCTCATTTTTGAAGCGACGACGAATTGGTTTCTGTGCGGTACATACCGCACTTGTACTAGACTGTGCATAGTGTTGAAAACGAATCGCACGTCGTCGCAACGGTGACCAATACGACTGTACCTTGACAACTGTCAGTCAACCGAAGACGCTGCCGGCATCGTCGTTGGGTTGACCGATATCTATTCTTCGAACGCTTCCTCTCAACAAACCCACGGCGAAGGAAGAAAAACAATGTTGGTCGCAAGGCCTACCACCAAACTCTGCAAGTACAAGGTTGCCATGCGCTTTGATACTGTTAACCACACGTACACACATTTCCTGTGGAGCAACAGGGGTCATTGTGCGGCACCGAACAAGCGCGTATGCCCCCCTTGCCGCTCCATCAGAGCTATCATCTCACCTTCATCTTGCTTGCCAAAACGGCTGCCCGCGGGTCCACCTCACCGCCTTCGGCGGCACGGCTGCTGGCCACTGTAGCGGCCACTTCCGCCGCAGCGGCACAGGCCCTCACGTCTTTGAGACCAATCTCTCTCTCGTGTAGAAGTTCTTCCTCCAAGGCCTGAGGCCGCCACAAATGCCACGATCAACAGCGCGAATCGATATTCCCGCATGGGGGGCAAGAACAGGTGAGGGCAGGCAGGGGAAAAATCCGCAACACTTGAGAACGGAGAGGGTGAGAGCATGCCATCGGTCGTGAGACTCGACTGAAGGTTGCATCCATTTTTATTCTTGGTTTTATTGTAGGAGTGCCTTGGCGCAAAAAGCCTGGGGCACATTCCACAGTCGATGGCTTCGCCACCCCTGTACTTCAGCTGAACGACACATACACGTACGCCAGTTCCTGAGGAGGCAGCCACCAGGCATAGCATGGCTAGCGCCCGTAGCTACACAGCGGCTCGGAAGCGAACCCTCCCAATAAATCATCCTGAAGGACAACGGTAGGGAAAATAAAACGGCCGTCATGGTGATGGAACGCATGACCAACAAATGTACCTCAATCTGTAGGTCCTCGAGGCGGGTCAGGTCCGCGTCTTGCTTGCACCGCTCCATCTCTCCAGCCCCATGCCTTACCCGCTCGGCTTCTTTGGCCCGACGCTTTGCCTTCAACCGCTCGGCCAGTGCCTTGCGCCTGACCCTCCCCTCTTCCGCCATGGCATCCTGCTCGGAAAGATCGTTTTGCAACCGAGAAGCGCAGTAGTCCGACGAGATGTGTCAGGGTGAAGGGGCTGGCGCGGAGAAAGGATATATGACGCGTCATGAGCACTCTGTAAGTCAGAATGAGAAAAGCGCACAAATCCACTCCAAAATTCAACGTTTGCGTCACAGACCTTGCAGGAAATCAACGGAAGAACACATACGCGTTCGTTCCAATAGGTTGGGCGAACCGAAAGAGAAACAATATGGCCTAATATTACCTCCAGAGCCTGGATTGCTTCGACCGCCTGCTCGCGTATGCGGTGAGCCTCTTCCGCAGCGGCCGCCTGCCCGGCGGCGGGGTCCTGGTTTTCATTTACAACCGCGCGGGCCTCGTCGCGCACTTGCCGCTGAGTAGACAACTCCGTTTTCAGGGCATGACTCCTGGCATGGCAAGACAGGGTGATTTGAGTCACACCAGATTCATGGTTTTGCGTCAATGTTCAAATATTATCGCGGCGCATCTCACAAATCGGACTCTAGCCGTCCCGAACCGACAAATTTCGATATGTTCGGGAGCCACCGCTTTCCTGTTGTCAAAGCTCCACACGCGGGTGCTTCAATCGCAGATTATTTGTTGCGTCGAGGTGACAGGTCTACTCCGCATAGTCACATGAAGTGAGTACAATAAGTGGGCAGCACGTTCGACAAATATCACGGTGAAACCCATGCCGCATGAGCTCTTCAATTCCGACTCGACAGTCTCTGGCGATGAACCTTGCGTCGTGGCTTACTTCTCCGACGCAAGTGTGGCCGCTAGCTCCTTCTGTTGCGATTCCTCCTTGGCCGCGAGTTCCTTGTCCGCTTTGATGGCCGCTTCCGACCAAGAGGCCCCATCCTCTACAAGCTCGGCTTCGCGCTTGGCTCTGCCGTGACCGGCGCAGACAAGCGGCATGGCCAAACGCGGAAAGTAGGACGAGGGCAGATCGCTGAGGCTTCTACGAGGGCAATGGTCCAAGAGATGATCGACTGTCAGTGAATTCGGTTCGGCGAAAGCCTCCCTGAGAGCTTGGAAGCTGGATTAGAAGACTAAGATTGCGTCTACTTCGTGACCAGCAGGTAGCTGCTGCCAAATACTAGAGGAACTTTGGATACACGTTATTGCTGAGCGTAATAAACAACAGAAAGAGCCATACTCCGGTTCTTTACCCTTGTGTATCGATCTCTAGCCACCCTGATGTCCCGCGGGTGCCCATACAGTTAGTTTGCCTTGTTCATTTGTGAATGAGAATAGAGGGGGCCGATTTTCATACCTCTGTGCGGCCAGTCGCTCTTGGAGAGCGTGTATTGCGCTCTTAGCCTTGACAGTCAGGCTTGATTCCAGAAGTGCAACTTGCTCCACATGTGCCTGTTCAACGTAGTCCAGAACAAGCGTACGATGTTCAACAATTAGAAGCGTAACGCATTGAGAGGGATGCTCATCTGACGCCAACAAGCCGTCTTTTGTCTAGACCGAAAAGGAAGCAATATTAGTCGGGGAGGTGGCCTGGTGGTCAGCGCGTGAGGAAACGGCATTATGAGGGAGGTGGCCCGTTTGTCAGGATGTATCTATCCGTACAAAAACCGCTGAAGCATTTTTGCCGCATCGAGTGTCGTGGGCAAGGCGAAGCGGCCGTGTCATACCTTCCTCAACGCTGCGATCACCCCTCTTTCGTCTTCGCCGTCCGTTTTGTCTCCACTGCCGTCGGCCTTCTCTTGCCCTTGTGGATCCTGATCGCCATCGTCATCCGCGGAGGACGCCGCTGCGGCAACCGCCAGTTGCGCCGCTTCGTGCTTGCGCCGTAGCTCTTTGATCTGCGCGTTTTGCTTGTGCAGGAGTTCTGCCTTGGTTTGGCTGAGACACGAACATTTGCCAGAAACAGATGGAGAGGAAGGTAGGGTAGACGGAGAAAAGTGATACACCCACTAAGGTATGAATCTCAGAAAACTCACGTCCACGTGCAATACAGAAACGGCGAGGTGTGATCAAGTTCTTCGTTTTTTTTCTGTAGCGCATCCACCTTCCAAAACGATTGTTTTCAACACGAAGCGGCTTCACCACCTCAGTATGTGAACGCTCAAAGCAAATCCAAACAGTGACCAGCAACGATTGTGGAACCAAGAAGGGAGAGACACAAGTATTGATGCGAAACTTTGGTAAAACAGTTCCCACTCGCATTCGACACCTGACTAGCGACATGAGCAACGACTAAGTCACTGCCACACAGCGGAATTCGATATGGGTTATACAGGGAGAGTGAGAGAGGATACTGTCGTTTCATTTGTGGTCTAATATGACGTCTGTTGATTTGTCGCACCATTCTTCGACGGCATCTTCTTCAGCGTGCTTCTCGTCCCTCGCCTTACGCGCCACCGCGGCGCTCTTGAAGCTCTCTTCCATCCTCACCCGCTCGCCTTCTAGGATGCCCTCGATCGTCTTTTGGTCTTCGGTTAGAGCGTTCATCATAGCCTGTTCGTGGGTTGTTGGTAGAGTACATGGAAAAAGATACATTCGTTTCTATTCGACCATGGTGGACGATGCGTCGTGGACCCATTCACGTCCAGCTTCCATCCGCGTAAATACATGTACGTCCGCACATGACAAACTCCCACAAGCACGCACGAGAGCAATTGCATTTTTGAAATACCTGTTTCTCCTCCACGGTCGCCCCCGCGTTGTCGAGCTGCTTTTGGAGGCTCCTCTTCTGGCTGTCCGCCACCGCCGACACCGCAGCGACGCCTGCCTCCTGCTCCGCCAGCAAATTGGCCTCAATCTCGGACCTGCGGGCTTTTTCCTCCGCCTCTTCTTCGGCAAGCAGGCTTTTTCGGCGAGTTCGGCGATGTTGGCGCCAGAAATATTGCCAAGCCCGACAATGCGAGCGAAGAATAAGAGCTTGAAGTGAGTGCGCATTCGAAACGAGTACGTTGCGTCAGGTGTTCCATCTTTTGAACACAGCCTAACGTACAAATCACACTCATGCTGCGTTGCATGAACCCAAGGAGCCGCTTAGTTGGCGAGAGAAAGTCGAATGCTATCCAAAAGAAAAATTTGAGAATGTTGGTAAAAACACCGTTGATACCATTGTTTGCTAGAATACGCCACTACGTGGTGAATTACACAGATGTCTGAGGCGCGGGTGGTTTCGTAGACGCCAGGCATTGGCACCCAGACCCATTCCAATCGTGCGGGCCCACCTGGTGTCCACATCATCGCCGGGCAAAATGGAGTGCCGCCGGTACTCGTTCTCGGCGACTTGTGAGAAGAGAGCGCTAGCGCGGCGAGTCGGGGCCACGACGGCTGCACAAGCGGCGGAAGCAGAGCCGGAGGAAGAAACCAACAGCCGGATTTCCTTCAGCATTCCCTGCCATTTCGAAGTTTTTGAATCCCAACAAAGAACGTCAAAGGCGATAAGACGTTTTGCTATGGGTCCGAGGGTGTCGTAAATACCGAGAAGTGTTGTTTTTTGGACGCGAGATGGTCCTTGACAGGGGGGTCTAGTTGAACCTCGCGTCAGCATTGAGAAGACGACAAGATATGAGGTCCGAGGACGAGGGGAAAACCAATCGGTGACGGAAACATGGAAGGCGAGAGAGGAACAGTGACAGATGGTGTCAAGCGAACACAGCGGCTAAACGACTGGCGAACTGCAGCCGCACACGCAACGTCAACATGTTTTGCACCGACAAATACGGTTCCAGCAAGCATAGGGTAGCTTCACCTGGAGGTCGTCCGATGTCGGCGGAACACCGTCCGCAGACCCGGCGATGTTCATCGTCTTTATACTCTCGTCCACCGCCGCCTCCAGGTGGCGCCGTTCCACCTTTTGTGTAGGCAACCACGATGCATTGTGTCATTATGTGTTCGATGTGCAGACCAACATCTGTATCATGAAGTATCCACTACACACTTGTACCGGAATACTTGCGCGTGTAAACCAATCGTAGAAAATGAACGGCTACACGGAAGGAGCGCGAACCTTTATCATTACCACTACCATCAACAACAACAGACAACAAACAACGACAAGCAACGACTACATGTTTGTTCCATGCATTCCTACCTCCGCATCTATCCTGGCCGTGTCGACCGCCGCCTTCTCCGTCTCCGCCCGAGCGCCGACGATAGCCAGCGCCTGGATGAGCTGGTCCAGCACCTTGGAAATGACGCTCTCGCCCCTTTGTCTCTCGGCGGTCTCGAGAGAGGTGTTCCCCATCGCTCGGATTCGCACAAGGTTGCGCAAGATCAATCCCTGAAGCAAGAAATAGAAGGTGAAGGTGTTACATGGCAAAGACACACAGACGTGTATGTGGAAGTAGGAGGTGAAAAAAAGCAACGCAGAAGGCTGGGAGTTCCAGAGAAGGGTGGGGCGAGCGCATTTGGGGAAACGAATCGTGTGCCAATATTTACGTGCCAATGACTACCGCTGGGTGTAAGTTACCAACACCTACCGATTTCCATTCTCTACCCTCATGTACAGCTAGTCACACGGGGTGGGCGCGCAAATTCAATCGCCGTATGAATACCAGGGATGTCGTTCGTGAACCGAGGTTCTCAAACCGTCACGAAGGTACAAACGCAGAAAACGGCAGTCTTCCCAGCACGGCTACTTAAGAGGTCAGTGCCCCCGTCTTTGGGGTGAAGACACACACCTCCGACGCGCAGAGCTCTTGCGTGCACGCAGGGAGGCGATCGGCGAGGCGTTTCAGAGTCGCCGCCACTCCCCGCTCACCGGCGTCCGTCTTCGCGTCCATCTCGCTCACGGTCTTCAAGGTTCGCACGATATCCTGTCGAACCGTGTTCGAAGCGGCAACCGGTTTTGAAACATAAAAAATCCAGTGTCTCCGAACCAACACCACATATTCGTGTCCAATCGTCCTGGATCAGTCATGATGCTCGTTGTGTTTAGATGCCTAATGGGCCGAGCGTGCACATCATGCTCAAGGGCGTCCGGACACGAAAGGGTCCCAGTTGCGCGATCATGTGCTGGTCACGTTTCCATCGGCTACATGTGTGCCGAATGAACATTTCACCGGATTATCCGCAGAATGTCAATGTTTCAATTGCTTGTTGGAAACCTGACCTTAGCTGCCCCTAGCAACAGGACGCGGTTTGGTCCCGACACTATCCAACCAATAAACCCTCCATGGCGTACATTTTGATCTTGACACTCGACCGCCATCAACGCCTGTACCGACTAGCTACATAATCGTCGTTAGGTACGAAGTGGATATTTTCAGCGTGTTCTCTTCGTCAACCCTACCTCCGGCAGGACAACTCCGCCTCTGGAAACAGCCCCCTCGAGTACCGCCCTAGCTGCGTGCTCTCTTTGCCGTTCGCGCTCCAAACTCTCTCCCAGCTCGTTCACCACCTTCGAATTCGCCGAAGTCAGGAAAATAAATAAAACCAACAAAAGTCGGATTTCCATTAAACAGGCCAAACACCATTGGCACAGGGAAATACACCGTCTACGACGCACCAAGTCGATTTTCAGTGGTAGTATGCCTAGCTCATCCGTCGAACCGAGACCGATGTAATTTCACATCGAAACCTCTGTCACGCCAATCTTTAGGGACATTATTGGTTCCAACCTAGCGGTTTGGTCCACACACCACGAGAGGTCAGGGAGGAGTGAAATTCATCGGGTGTGCAGCCAACCTCGCGTATGTCTCTCGTGCTCATGTTCAACAGGTGCATCTATTTTGGTGAGGATCTATGCCGCCGCAGCCCGTTCCGATTAGAGCATGTGTCATTCGTTCCATTGAAGCCTCGACAGCAGGCTCTCGACCTTCATACACAGATGGCGTGACTTTGTCTATCTGGATAAAACTCGTTCGGCGTACCTCAACCCGGATGAGCTCAGCGCCTTCCTGTATCTCACGCAAAAGAGGGGTGGCGGCATGGGCATCGTCGTGGCACGACCCTTTCTCTGCGACGTCCGCGTTCGAAATCTCCAGCATGACACGCTTGGCGAAGGGCTCGGCTCCCTCCTGGAGGAGCTCTTGCAGCCGTTTCAGAGCTGACAGGGCCTCCACCTTGTGGGTTGTTTTTTATGCATGGCGTCAAGAAGTGACAGCGATTTAGGGCACTAAGTCATATTCCTTAACGACGTGCCTTAGTGCATGCAGTATTGGGTGGCGAAGTAATTTGCGTGGAACTTCCTAGTCTCCCGAGTAACCTCGAGGAGTAGGGAATGTCTGAGGACTGCAGTTGTTGTTGTTGTTGTTGTTTCTCACATTAGCTCTAAAAAAAAAAAAAGATTGGGAGCCCGTGGTCTCAAAACCCGGCATACACGACCCCACGAAGAAACAGAAAAAAAATAGGGTACAAAAACCACTCGGAAGAGAAACAAAATGATAGAAAGAAAGACCAGCTACCGCACCAAACGAGAAAGAGCGCCGAGGAGACCGATCAAAATAAAATAAAAGGAGAACGGGGAACGCTTCCCACACCCGCCTACACAGTGTGAACAGGGGGGTGTTGAGGGAGCGTTGCTTGCGATCAGGGAAGAGCGCGCGTAAGTGAGGAACACTTTGAAACCATGGCATCTCGTGTTCACGCAATGCAGCACACACAAACGACAGTAAGAAAACGGCCTCAATTCGGTGGATTATAACATCCTTACCTGTCCAACTGACGCGGACGCCTTTCGCGGTCACAGGCCAACTACCCCAAGAAGGGCAGGTATTTCTAGAAACAGGAAATAAAGATGGACAAACACCCTCCCGATTGTAGCGGATCAGAAAATGCAATCAGGAAACTTCGGGTTATTGGAAAAAGAAAAATCAAGCCCGTAACAGTATGCATCACTCTCCGCCCCTCCTCTCCACCGCCTCAACCTCCTCCTTTTTGGCCAATTCTCTCACCTCTGATGTTGATACGCCGGCTTCGTGCAGCCGGCGGGACGCGAGGTCTGTTTTGAGCCGCGCGAGCGTCGCTCTGGTGGATTTCTCGACGGCCGCAGCGGGCTGGTCGCCGACCACGCCCGCCTTTGCCCCGAGGAGACGCTTGAGCTCGTCGGCCTCTTGCTGGAGGAGGTGGTGGAGCTTCATGACGAGATCCTGTTGTGACATGGCAAGTTTTATATTGTTCGGTGCGATTTTTTGGGTCCTGTGGTGAGATGGTATCGTAATGGGTGGTCGGGGATGTTCCAGCCGGTGGGTAAGGATTTCGATACCACTGACATTGGTGGTTTGCATGCTTGTTTTTGTGATCGGTGCCGGATGGCCTGCGTTTCGCAACCTTGAGACAAGCGGTGCTGCCCGAGCCCTAGCCCGCGACAGCTCTGTACACGTTTGTGTACATATCGCAGTATGTTTTACGAATGATGTGGCGTTCCTCGATCCCTTTTCGGAAATCCACACCTTCTGTCCCGTGAACTCCTTCTCGACGTCGTCGTGGTACTTCTGCATTCTCTCCACCAGCTCGCGGACGTCGGGGTTGTCTTGGGCGTCGGAAGGGTCGCCGCTGCCGCTGAGATTTGTCGTAACGTTTCAATGAGAGACGGAGCCCAAAGTATGGCCGCCAGCCGAAACATATATTAGCGATAAAAGAGCCTCTCGTAAACTATAGCTTTCGCAACGAGCATTCAACGCTTGTTTGTGGCACGGCGCGCTGGCGATGTGAAAATTCCGTGTGTGGGCAACCATGGTCAAAAAGGACGGGGTCGAAGCGGTGTGTCCACGCGAGGTAGCTAAAACGTCAAGCTACTTATGTTGCTAGTGTCCGTCAGATGAAACAGCGCGTGAACATAACTGACTGAATCTTGCACAGAACGAGGCGGAGGACTTGGAACTTGGACAGGTGCAGCAGGAAGGTCATATCGTCTTTACCTCTGCATCTCAATGTCTGGGGCTCGACCGCTGCCCAAGCCGGTGCGTGAGCTAACAGACAGTCGCGACCTCAAGGTACGGCCGCGGTCACTGGGGGTGGACTCCGGGTCCAGCGGCGAGACTTGGTTCTGTCGCTTAGCGAAGAAGCCAGCTTTCTGTGTCGAAGCGTCACCGTTGACCTGCATATGTGACACAAAAGAGGGTGGGGATGGAAGAAACATTCAAGAGGGCATGATTCCCGTCGGGGAAGATGCTTGTGTTGGCCTCGGTAGAGAGAACGCATGGCAGCCGACTCTCCATCTGCGTCTGGATACTCGAAAAAAAGCTGAACCCTCTCCAGGTCGCCGCTTGGGGTACTGTCCTACCTGCCAGAAAATTGCGGTTTGTCTGGCAGCTTCTATCTCAAGCACAAGATTGTTCCATCTCCCCCCTTTGCATTTTCAGATGTTTACGCGAGCGTGTGCGTATCACCTCAAAGTGACGGCCCTGCGCCTTTGCACGGTACCCTGGGGTGGCCGCTTGTCCGGTGGTCCACGCCTTGGTTCGGAAGTAGTACACCGCGGAAACAACTCTGCAAGAACGTGCAAAGGAGATGAATGAGTGCTCTCAGAGGGGGTGCTGGATGCAATGGGTCTTCACCCGTAGGCCATGAACGTGGTGATACCCGCGGCTGGCAAGGCCCCGAACAAAACGACTACTGTCAGACTGGTGAACAGTCGAAACTATTCCACGTACGTGATACGCGGCACAACAGGGTTTCCGGGGTGAGTATTAGCCGTTTACCCAACACAAGAGCACACCTCTGCAACGCGCGAATGAATCACCCCGCAAACGAATCATTGAATCTGCATGCATATAGCAATATGAACAGTTCACATGATGCAGGCTTTGCTTGCTCCGGTCACCTCTCACCCGAATATCATGAAGGCAACGCCCGCCAGCAGGCCGCAGATGAGCGCCCAGTCCGGCGTAAGCGTGAGGTTGTCGCTGTTCTTGGCTACCCCGAGCTTGATCAAGTTGGCCGCCGTGAGGGGCACGAAGTGCGCGTCGGTGGTGCAGCTGATGCATAAGCGAAGCGCGCCGTCAACCGACCGGATGAACAAGCAGTTTGACAACGGTGACGTATTGTACAGGGTGAGGAGCAGCACAGGATAGACTCGAATACAGGGAAGGTGCGGGAGCCCATTTATTTCTTTGAAGAGTCGCTCTAGCCATGATTGCCCGCCAACGGGAATTTTCATACGAATTGTGTATGCCCTTGGTCGCCCCATTTGATGTTCAGCACGTTGTATTACTTCGGCCATCAGGAACGACAAATCGGGACCGGGACAGGACAAGAAAAAAACGGCTCTGATTCTTTGCGCGGCGTTACAAACAGGGTATGCTGTGTGGCTAACCTGACGTCTTCCCCCATGACGGCCAGGACGATGACGCTGTCCAGGTTGCAGCTAGAACTGAACACGTACGTTCCGGCGTCCTCGAAGACGAACCCGAACGTGTCGTACGTGGCCGACGAGGTGGCGAGCTCGGCCACAGTGCGAAACTCGCCGTAGTCAAACCTTGCATCCCGACACAACGAAAAGGACAGAGTGTCAAGATGTCAAGCCTAGGATCCAATGTGTTCGATTGACAGATAGAGAGAATCGGGTTGGTCATTTATTTGTTTCATCTGAAGGGGGCGGAGAGCGAGGCCAGCCACCCGATTCGTTGACTCAACCAACGGTGGTAGGTTTCATTCGTTGGGATACTTTGGACAACTTTCCCAAGGCCCGGTGCGTATGCCAGTTTGTGTTTTGAACGCTTAAAATGTAGCGTTTCACATGCGCAACCGTGCGCGAAACTATTGCATGAAGTACTGCCCGTGAGAAAGAAACCTTTACAAAGTCGCTCTCACTCGAGATTAGAGTTCAGCAGCGAATCTTTGTCGTAGACTGGGTAGCAGCCGCTCGAGATGTCGAACAGCACCGAGTCGCCCTTGCGGATGCATGAAAGGGGGCTCTCGACGGCGGGCTCGGCTTCATCACCGACCAGCCTCCTCCTCCCCGTCCTCCCTGTCGCGCTTTCCGTGTCGACCCGATCCTCCTCTTGGGTTCCCACGCTCCAACTCTCGCGCTCCCATGGCGGCCGTCCGTCGTAGGGAGGCTCACCATCATCGAAATCATCAACAACATGCTTCTCTTGCTGTTCGGCATAAGCTCCTTCCTCCTCGTGTGAGGGGAATGGAAAGGAGTCGGGACGACTGGACGAGAGTGGGGAGGCGGTATATGATCGCTGAGACTTGGGAATCGCTCCGGGTATGGTAGTGTGAGTGCCGTTCTCAGTGAAGAAGCGGTCCCGGTATTGATTCCTCGGTCGGTAGTTCCCCGCCCTGTTACGTCCACCAGGGAACGAAACGTGAGAGAAAATGGGATACATCGGGGTGAGACGACTCCGAGCTGATTTCAGACTGAACACACAGTCAGTCGTCGACAACCATTTTACTCAGCAGGTACTCGATTTCTTCACTTTCGGTATCTGTTTGACCACCACAGGCAAGATAAAGGTTTCCAAAGCCGAGCTTCAAGTTGAGGTCATAGGAATTGCGTTATCGTCAGCATTTCATGTTGGCCAATGTACGCCCGCACAGTGTTTGACATGCACAAACCCAAGCCACAAATATAACTGTTGAGCTTGCTATTGATTGACACCGTGTTGCAAACCCCACGGTACAGGATACACACAAGCTCAAAAGATATCTAGAAAACGACGGTTATGCGATCAAGCTATGCGCAAACACTTTATGATTCAATTGACACAGGAGCTGGCATCACCAGATTCAACTGGTGCACTACGCAGAGCCCCCCCCTGGAATACCTCGTATCAAACGTCCTCCAAATCTATCACCGCCTGCCTTCAACCTAACAGCAATCATGAATAGAAAGCATAGTTATTGGTGCTACGATCACAGGAAACACATTCTATCAAGTCTCAGCTGGGGGGCCACCTTCTGTGTGAGATGCTTGTCAATTCTCTGGCGCACACACACCGTGCATGGTGCATGCAAGGCAGGCAAGACTACACGCGGTCGATGTCTGGAAGTGGTTTCGGAGCTATTGATCTCCAGGCAAGAGAAGCAAACGAACGATGTCGCGTGCTTTGATTCCCCAGCCGGGCCACGGAACTACTATGGTACCGGACGCGGCAGTGTTCCGTTGAGAGCATGCCAACGTTCAGGTGCTGGATCCTCGTTCATCACTGCCTCTGTTTTCCAGCTGGAGCATGCCATCAACGCGTGGTAACATACCTGCGGCGCAAGAACATGTAGGCCATGTCCTGTTCCGAGGAAAAGACATCACCACCGTCCTTCCTGACCCGAACAACTTGGTCGTCTGCTTCGACAGGGTCAACAACACTGGCGTCTTCGGATTCTCGCTGCTGCGCTGCGGTCATCAAGCTGAGGTGTCTTCGACTCGAAGCTGCAAATGGTGAAGACGAGGAAGGATCAGCTGCGGCCGAAGCCACAGACGTCGCCTTCGCCACCGCATTGCCGGTACCGTAGACTCCGCTGAAGTTTGTGGAAACGGTAACCGGGAAAAGTCCGCAGCCCGCGTCGTCCGAGCAGTACAGCGCTCCGGCGAAACTCGGCAGGTTCGCCGGGTCCACGTACTCTGCTCCGACGAACACCGATTTTGTAAGAACAAATTCATGGGAGGGCGTGCGTTACTCTATCAATGTCGAACGATTGAGAGTTGGCAGGCTGAGCTACATGAGCTTGCACAGAGGCGGGAGTGCCCGTTTTGAGTAGTGGTTGCTGAACACAAGGGTATTCATCGACAGGGAGGAAAAATCGTGTGTCGTCTGAGCTTGATAAACGAACCCTTGAATTCTTACCTGTGGAGTTTCCGTCGATGACCACAATAAGTCCCGTCAGGGGATCCACAAACATCAACGCGGCGTTGTCTCTGCAGTTCACGTCGCATACTGCGTTGAGATCCTATGGTTGCAAAATATAGAGCAAGCATAGTGGGAGTCAATATACGGCATAGGTAAGGGCCACCGAAGATGGCGCGCTTTCAACTCTATCACCGGAGAGGCAGGAAAGACCACACACAGGAGGGAGACAACGCGAAAGCGCACAGGAATCGCCGCTTGAAGGAAACACCGATGTTTGCCATGCATCCTCACCAACCAATTCTTCAAACCCCTCCCGCAAGACCCTGTATCCCTGTATCGTTCTCTGCACGTGTTCGGCATGCCAGCAGGTGAATGTTGGCGGGATATTTCCTCAGGCCCCATAGCACACAGCCGAAAGACGCCTATGGCAGATTGAGAGATAGACCAATCCTGAATCAAGCCCCAATCTACTGACTTGAGCTTGCTGTCACACCGCGCTGTGACAACGGATAGATTGTTTGAACGAATCCCACCCCTCGAGTACAAGCACTATGGCATCAATGACGCATCGACGAGTGCGTCCCATCTCACCTGTTGGCCGTGGCACTCGCACAGACCGATGTGTTCATAGAATGTGCCGCCAGCCTCACCGCACCGGCTGTCGCAGTCACTGTTGTCAGGTTCACATCGAAGCGTGAGTACGAGCAAAACAACAAAAACAGAGGTGAAGACAGGCATATCGAGAGAGAGGACACAAAAACCTAACGTAGGCGCGTCACCTAAAGCAATAAAACCGCATCCATCCGCCTCAGCGGTAGTGTCGCCACTGGTCTCTCTTGCATCCTCACGGGAGTGGATGAAGTAGATCATCACCAGTCAACAATGTCGCGTCTAGAAGAGGTGAGATTTCGATAGAATTTCGCTGTACACTTGTACAGGGCTTCTGAAGGCATCAAAGCAGGACTTTATTATTCAGAGAAGGGATGCTCCCCCTCACACGGTATGGCAACAAGTTTGACGGCAGGGCATGATCTGTCGTGCTAGTGTATCAGGTGATGTTGTACAAGTCCAAACAAGTACTCCAGCTTCCAACGTAAGTACCACTCCCACTTGCCCGTGCACTCCTCCCACCTTTCCGAAACACAAATTCCGTCCGCGTCCAAGGCCTCTCCTGTGTAGCACCGTTCGTAGACGATGGGCTGGCAATCGATGGCGCCGTCTACCGTGGACACCAACACGCCTCCTTCGTTGTAGTACTCGTAGCCCGAGCGGCAGATGCACTGCCCGTCCGACAGCTGGGAAAAATATTTTCGGTATGAATGGACAAAGTTTAACCCAGGAACGTGCGAGTGTGTTGGAACAGGTGCACTAGGGCGCATTCACACGGGTATTGTTGCAGAATGGTGTCTGAGACTATAGCTGTACGTACGGCAATTGAAGTCGCCGTCCGTGATTTGGGGAACGCATTGAAGGCATGAAAACAACTGACTCCGCAGGGAGCGCGATTTTCACAAAGACGTAGGAAAACTATCCCCGCTGATGAAATGATGTGCCAATGGCTATCATTCTGCCACCGCTTCAGCGTGCCACCACAAGGAGTTGTGCGTGCACGTCAGCATACGATCTCCGAAATTCAACTGGTCATGAACCATAACATGGCACAGTTCTGATTCGACAAACGTGCCGGTGACAAAGTCCCGCCATTTGTAGCGAAATGAAAAGGGAAGAAAAATCCTCCAAACAATGGAGCGAGCGCAGGGTAACCTCACTTGGAAAGCTCTATTTAGCCCTAGGCATTTGCACTCGGTCGCGTTCGCCTCGCTGGTTGAGCTGGAAGAGCAAGGGAGACAAGCGGCCGACCCTTCTTGGTCCTACGAAGAACGTGCAAGCAATCGAGGGGGGCGGGAGGGGGGGTGTACTCATAGTCGTGCATGCCGTAGTCGTTAGACCATTGACCTCGCATCCCTACAAAGCCGGGACGGAGCACGCCGGGTTCTCACCGGACCAGGCTCTCACATCACCAAGCGCGAAGCGCCGTGAGATATTCGGCGAGTCGCATGAAGGGTGCGCTGCATCCTGCTAAGGGTGTTCGGCATCTTGTGCTTACTTCCTTGCGTACGGATGACAGCTGCGTATGAATTAATTTATTTTCTGGTGCTTTCACTTCCAGAGACAGTTGTAAGCACTGTGTAACTGCCTCGAGGGTGCTTGACCATTTTAACACAACGTGGTGCGATCATCCCCCTTGCGCGGAGTGAGGGTTCTCCACCCCGCACAACATGATCTACTCGACCACCATTATGGTTACCGCCAAAAAAAAAAAACGGAGGAAAAAAAAAAAAACGGTAACCTGGTTGCCGAGTTCACGAAGTGAATTGGCTTGTTTTACAACGTCGTTGCCAAGCGCGGTAACTAATCTGGTTGCCGAGTTCTCGAAGTGACTTGGCTTGTTTTACAACGTCGTTGCCAAGCGTCGAAAACCCAATCCCGATG